TCATCACAGATAAAAAATGGTTCCAAAGGTTTAGAAGAGTTCTATCTCGCACCAGTTTTTTTTATAAAGAAATTCTTTCACAAAGATGATTCTAATGCAAGTCGCGTGAATCTTTTTTCGTTAGCTCGATTACTGGCGATATCTGAAATAGTTTCCTATTGGATCACTGATTTCTCCAATACCCATGTGTTTACCAACCACTGTTATTATATTTTTGTTTGTCTTTTTAAAATACTGAATTTCGAACTGAATCGTGTGTTGCGCTAGTCTTGTATATCTATGATTCTCCTCAGTGCTTTAATCAACAGAATTTATGCTTGGTTTTTTCTATTCACAAACTTTTACTCTTGTGTCCTGTGTCGTTATGCTTATTTTATTTTTGCTTGTTTCAGATAACCACAAAATTATTTTTTGCATTCATAAGTTATTTTGTACTTAGTTATAATAAAACAATGAATTTATGTGATATGAATTGTGATGATGTATTAAAGCGGTTATCAACATTTGTGTCGAATTCGGATATAATTAGAAAATTCAAAGGTAACTAAAAATGTGTGCTCTTTATTTTTGTCCCCTCTGTCAAAACCATTAACCTTTTACTTCATTTGTAACTCTTTATAAACATGTTCGTTCGATTCATCGAAATGATATACCTTTCAATGTTCGTTGTACACTAAATTCTGCTTGTGGCTCGATTTATACTACTTTTGAGAGCTACCGTAGCCATTTGAATCGATATCATCACGATTTGTTGAATGAATATAATATACCAAGTTGTTATACTGTGAATGGAAATCAACAATCACCATCATTATTATTATCAAATGCAAATATTTTTCAAGATGAAGAAGATAAATGTATTGATGCGCAAGATAATGCAGATGAAGATGAATTGGAGACGTTGGAACGCACAAGATCAAGTGAAAATGATATAGATTGGCCATTATTCACAGGTTGAATTAATGAAGAAGATGATAAAGAACAATATACAATTAACACATTTGAAAAATATTATACTCGTTTTCTACTTTATTTACGTGAAGGTCATTTATTGCCACAAAACATCATTAAATCAATCACATCTTACTTTACAACAATGCTAGATACGTTATTTAAAATCATTCAACATCAATCAACACAATCATCAAGAGGTCTACTAATCCCATTAGAAGATATAGAGAAGTTGATATTACAAATAATAACTTCCATATCTAATATCACCAAAAGTGATTACCAATTTTCGAAACGCTGTGAAGAGTATTTTGGGTATGTAGAACCATTGCAAATTAAATTAAACGATCAAGATGATTGTGGTTATTATATTCCTATTCAGCAAAGCATTAAACGTTTATTGAGTAAACCAGATGTGATTACTTATTTGGTCAACAATTTAAATGATAATATAACACAGACAAAGAACGATCCTGACTTAATGTTGATATATCGTGATGGTACTGTGGCAAAAGATAATCCTTCATTAAAGCTTCATCCTAATTCATTTTTAATTCAACTTTATTCAGATGGGATTGGAGTAACAAATCCAATTGGTCCTAAAAAGGATGAACATAAACTCACATTATATTATTTCGTTTTAGAAGATTTACCAGATGTTGTAAGATCTATGTTACAATCAATTGGCCTTGTTGGAATATGTCCTACAAAATATGTATCATTACAAACAAATCGTATAAAATATTTTGAACCAATTGTAAAAGATTTAAATTATTTACAAACAACAGGTTTTACTGTTCAAACGTTCGATGGTCAACTGCACTTTGCATTTAGTTTATTGGCAGCCGATAATCTTGCATCACATGAGATTGGTGATTTTCAACGGAATTTCAATTCTGGTCAATTTTGTCATTTATGTCATATATCGTATCAATTTAGATTGACTCTATTAACAGATATTTCATTTTTACCTCGTATAGTAATTACACACAACACATATGTTCAACAAGCTACAAATTCATTCAATAGAAGAACTATTACCAGTGTTGTGGGTGAAAGTGCTTTGTCCAATTCAATTGGTTTTCATTCTATCAAGTCACTGCCTAACGATATCATGCATGACTTTGCTGAGGGTCAGAATTGAGATTGTTGTATTTGTGTCATCGCTATAATTTATTTCCTATTTACACATAATTTAGGTGTTTGCCCACTCGTAGTACTAGCTATGCTGAAAGAAGCATTAACAAAACGACTTTTGACATATGATTAAATAGAACAAAAGATGAATACATTTAATTATGGAACGTACGATCAGAATAATAAACCACCTGTAATTCGTGCTAAGCATATTAGAAAGAATCGTATAGTTGGTTCAGCAAGTCAAAAATTGTGTTTATTTAAATTAATGCCAATTATATTTTATGATATTATCGATAAACTAACAAATACATTAGATATTTTTATGTGTTTACGTGAAATAGTTAGTTATTCTTACTCCACAAGATTCAGAAAATCCTGGTTACCTTATTTTCAATCCTTAACTATACGTTTTCAATCATTAATGGTATATCATTTGCCCGATGTCATCATACCGAAAATCCATTTTGTTACCGAATATCCAAGAACAATTGATGCAAATAGACCAGCAACTCATTTTTGGTTTATGAGATTTGAGGCGAAACATTTGTACTTCAAACAATTAGCAATCAGATCGTTTAATTTAAAAAACCCAGCATTTACTCTTGTCAAGCGACATCAACTTCGACAATGTCATATGTTATCCAATAAGAATTATTACAATATATTTACCAATGCAACATCATTAAAAATCGTAAAGTACTCTTTATTGTCCATAAAACTTCAACGTTTATTAAAAGAGAATGATATTAACCAAACAGTATTTGATGAATGTAAAACAATTTATTATAAAAATGCTCTGATAATGACACAATCAGTATTCGTAGAGAAGTTACTCTATGTAGAAGAAGAACCATGTTTTGTTTATATCTTGCAACTCTTGAAAATACAAAACTCGTGGAAAGCAGTTGTTGAACATTTACAAGTAGTAGGATTCAACGAAAAACTTTGGTCGTTATGAGGTCGAGTTTTGTGGAACATTAAATTTATTGGACTTTTGATCTGCTTTTAGATATTTTACCTCATGGGCTTGATATTTATAATGTCCGAGGTTCTTCGTATAATTATGTTTTATCTCGTTTGATTATTTAACATAATTGAATGGATATTTTGTTTTATCCGCTTTTTTATATCTACTTCATTTGTTTCTTTTTTTTCTATAAACTACTCAGAACTTTCATCATACCTTGTCGATATGCCTCTCTATATTATTTTACTGATATTTTCCTGTGATTTTTGTTTAGAAGAAGAAATTGGTGGAGTTATGTTAGCAAGATTACCATTTGATGAATTACGTGCATTATTTCCAAAATTAAAAGATCGAGTATTATTCACTGAAAAACGTGATATATTGATAAAAGAAAATAATAATACTACAAATGAACAATTAGATGGAAAAAATATTTTAAATGAATGTACTGAGAAAACGTTTGATATATATATATAGTGCATCGCAAATAATAGCTTCAACACAAGATTTACTCGATGATATACCCTTATTTTGTAATGACATGAATAATGAAACATCTGGAACAACGTCAAATATTGATTGTCAATTAAATGAAGATGAAAATGGCAATTTGGAAGAGTCACAACAGAATTTATCATCAGATTTTGCATTTGTATCATTACAAGAAGAAATTCAAGTGATAGTTGATGAAAACGACCTAATGAAACTACGTGAACATACAAATCATCGACGAATACTCCTTAACTTCGTGTTTAAAATTGTTGTTAATACTTACAATTTATTGTATAGGATAATACATATACATCTTGTAGATATAAAACCTTTTTTTGTTTATTTTCTTCATATGTATCCTAAAGCAAGTGATTATTTTTTAATTACACAAACTTTACTTAAAACATTAAAAATTTCAACAACAGATGCAAATGCAACTGTAAGAAAATAATTATTCTTATCGATTTCTCTCTCGAACAGATTATTTATAGAATGAATGGCGTGAAGCGATTAAACAAAAATTAAAAAATGAACGTCGTCTTTTACAAAAAATATCTCCAGTAGTTCAACGAAAAAAAGAAAAATTTGGAAAAGGTTGTGGATGTTATGCAAAAAAAAGTCAAGTTTTATCTGCTGAGCGACAGCATGAAAAAATGGTGGGTCAAGTTTTATTTCTAAAGTCTAAAAATAAAATGCCAATGTTTATTGTTATAGATTTATGTCAGTAGTATTATGGATGAATGTGATATTGAACAATTAGTTACAACAATGAAAGAGAGTATTCAAAATGGAACAATACATAACGACGTATTGAATACTTTATGGAAAAAAACATTCGGTTATCGTCGATTATTCATTAGTTCGCACACAACAAATGAAATACTAGAAAAATTTCCCGGTTACTCATATCCATGTCTAGTAAGTGTGTTTTTGAAATTGGTTTTTTTCTCATAGTTTTGGTCCTCTTTGATTTATAACTGATGATTTTTTTTCTTTATTTTAGATTTTTGAAGAAATCAAAATGATTGACAATGTTGATATTGAAAAAATGTGAATAAAATATTACCACGTTTATTTGATAAATTACCGAATAATGAATTATTTATTATGGGTGAGTAAAATGTAGATATTGAAAAAATTAACGAAGTGGCCGTCCTATCAATTACATCGATAAGACATTTTCATATCTTAAAATTAATTGTTTCGGGAAAATCTCGATCACTTACTTTTTGTCTCCCATCTTTATTTTTCTATTTAATGAGTCCGATGTTCTTTATTTTTGAAGAATCAAAATAATGATACCAGAGCTACAAGATGAGAAAAAAGAAAACAAAAACTTATTATTTATTTAAAGTTTTCATTCTTTTTTTCAAATATTCAGTTCGACATTCTTGAAAAAAGTGTAATCTAAAAATGTAATGACGTGTTGCTTGACGTGAGTCGATCCATTCTATACACCCAAATACAAATTTACATTTTATTGTGCATTCAATTTTTCATATTGTTTGCAGAATATATTTTATTTATAACTCACATTTCTTCATTTTATGTAGATTTGTTGCCAATTCGCATTATAAAACTGCTATGTAAACAATTTAAACAACCCATTAGTCACATTTTAGTTGAAAATGTAAGATTCAGTTTCTAAATTAAACTATTGATTTGTTTTGCAAACAGCATTATTCATTTTTTACTTACATATTTCGTTTAGGAGCCGATCGTCCCAACACCTTGTATTAAAGTATCGAATGAAAAATTTCAATTGTATCTTGATTGGCAAGTTGTTGCAAAAACGACAAGTTCAACAACAGCATTATCATTATTATTGTCAATATACAATGTATTTGAAGTTAAATTTGCCAAAAACAATCACACTTCTCATTTATTATATGGTGTTTTTTTTCAAAATGAAAATGAACTTGGAAAAAATTTACGAATTCTTCTACATTCATGGCATTTTACATTTGCAGCTCGAGCACAAAAAATCTCAAACACAAACAACAAACTCTATTGACTATGTTTGTACACAAACAGCACAACAGTTACAGGTTCATTCTACAGCAACAACAACAGAAAGTGCTTATTCATTCGCAACATTAAATACAGGAGAAAATGAATCACCACAATCACCACAATCAATTCCATTAATAATACCTGATCAAGAACAACAACCACATAATAATTCATTACTACAGATCCATGAATCCGAACAAAATACTGTTGGTATTGAAATAGCATCATCAACAGCTGTACATTCAAGAATCGTATAAAGAGCAGATACAAAAATCAAATTTAGTAACTCTTCGAATATTCAGCATAAAGTATTAAAAGATGCAACCAATAGTAAAGCATTAACTGCAGCAACTAAAGGTGGAAAAAGAAAACTTCTATCATCACCAAAACAAAGAAAACTATCTTCACGTTTAGCAATTAAAAGAAGTCGACAGAACGTCTCTTCTTTTAAAGATTGATTCAGAAAACTTTTTTGTCTAAAAATTGTCTTTCTTTATCTTATTCTTATTCTTATTAACTTTTACCACATACTTCAAACGTGACTCTATCGATTGTCAATATGCTGATATATTCATTTCTTTTTTAAATTTGATGCATCTTCAGTAAACTCATAAAAAACTGCAATAGATATTCAAATGAACTTATGTGTGATTGATTGTAACGTGATTCTCGTTTTTATACTTTATTTTATATTTTTGTCACTAGAAAAACATAGAATAAAAACAAAACATACAACAAGTTCCATGCGTTCATTCCGTCAGGAGCACTGAAAGATCACTGTCTTCATTACAAAACTGTACAAAAACAACCACATTTCCGACACTTACTAAAAAAAATATATCTAAGATTAAATCAGTCCCTGAGTTAGTGATATCTCTAAAATGCATTCATTTTTATCCATTCAGGTTTACCACGATTAACAATTGAAGGGTCACTGTTTTTTTTTAATAGTAATCAATTCTTCTTTCTAACTAGGCTTATAACAAAAAAATTATTCATAGGTAAATTTTTTTTGCAAGAATAATTTTCTTTTTCTTGTAGGTTCATGAGAAACAACAATTGAAAACAAAGGTACCATTTAAAACATAAATTTTTCTTTCTATTTAGGTTGATTACAGATAATAAATGAGAGGTAAATTTCAGTTCAAATACTAAACAATATTTTATTTCGGTTGATGACAATCAACAATTCGATGGCACGTTTTTCTTTAATTAATAAACATTTTTTCTTCTTCTTTAGGTTTATGACAAATAACAATTGAAAACTAAGTATCTATTTAAATAATGAATTTTTCTTTCAATTTAGATCTTTGACAAATAACAATCGGTAGGTAAATTTCTCTTGCAATAATGTTTTCTTTTTCTTTAGTTTCATGACCAATAAAAATTGAAGTTTCTATTTAAACGATAAGTTGTTCCGTCTATTTAGGTTTACGACAAAAAAAGATTCAAAAGTAACTTCTTATTTAAATAATAAAATTATCTTTCTATTTAGGTTGATTACAGATAATAATGGAAAGGTAAACTTCAGTTAAAATAGTAAAAAATTTTTTATTTTGGTTAATGAGAACCAACAATTCAATGGTAAGTTTTTCTTTAAATAATAAATGATTTTATTTCTTTTTTAGATTCATGAGAAATAACGATTCAAAAGAAAGTTTCTAATAAAAACATGAATTTGGCTTTCCATTTAGGTTCATGACAAATAATAATCGGTAGGTAAATTTCTATTTAAAAAACAATAAGCTATTTTTTTCTATTAAGATAGACGGCAAGTAACAAATCAATGGTCGGTACTCTGTTATGAATGAAATAAGTGTTGATCTCAGTAGAATCCTGTGAATGGTAAACAACAGCTCTCTTGGAGGCAGAAGAGAATATGTGGGGTTGGTGAACCTGCTGGAAGTGTGGATGAGTACAATGATAAGCAAGGTCGTTAAGATTGTTTTTTAGCTATCGCAGTTCTCAATCTCGTTGATAAGGGATCGGGTGGATTATTGATTTTAGCGAGGTTTCAACAAAAAACCATGTAAGCATGAAGAGATTCAGGGTAAGGTGGTTAAATGGACCATTTTTTGTACGGCTTGAACTGGTTTTTCACGCAGGAAGAAAAGATATCAGATAGAACCAGATTTTGCTCGAACCTTTAAAGGTTCTTAAAATGGTACCCAAATCTAGAATCTTTTAAGGTTCAGTATCATAGCTTTTTTTTTACAGAGTACCCACGCCCACACACCCACCCATCGACTGTAACTTAATCAATAGAATATAATCAGATTTTTTTGTTGATCAATTTTTAGCACTTTCAATTTTCTTTTACCACGTTTTCTCCGGAACTTTTTATTCTTTTCTTTATTCTTCACTATTTATACATCACCAATACACACCAAAGAAAGAAAGAACAGACAAAAAAAAATACAACGAGAGATAATAAATATTCTTGCCTACTTTGGACTAGACTACGTAACAATGAAGATAATATTAGACATCTTCAAAGCATTCAAAGTTAGAATAAGAGAAAAGATTGAAAAGTTTATTGAATTGTCAAGGACGAGGGATAGAAGAGAAGAAAAAAAAAGATTAGCTTAATTGTATGAAAATGGATAACATAGAGTAAAATAAATAACACATACACGCAACAAATAAAGAAGTATAAAATACAATAAATAATGATAAACGTTGATAGAGTGTTCTCTAACAGTAGATAAAATTTTGCTAAAGATAATCGAATAACTAGGTTAAAATATTCAACCATGGTAAAGTTTCGTTTGACGAAGAGATTTTATCTCTTGTTCTTTTTAACATTCCTTTGTCATGATTGTATTACTACAAAATATACTGTGTGTTGTTCAATTAAAAAAATACATCAATTTATATACAGAAAAAAATTTATCCGATTCTCTGCTTATTTTCAAAGATAAAAGACATGGCCATAACAGATATTATTCTTTTTTTCTCGATTTTTTTCTTCGTGCTTTTTCGTTATTCTAAATAGTTAAGTGAACAAACGGAGGCATATTATATGATAACGATGTTATTACTAATACAGAAAAATACAAGAAGAAAAAGAACGAAAATACGAGAGAGAGAGAGAGAGAGAGGAGAAGAGAATATTAGAGTAATGGAAAATAATAAAACGACAGTGCGTCGAGTCAGCTTTGTATAGATATTCTTCATATATTTCGTATAGGAAAGAAGAAAGGTAAAGAAACGTAAAAAAAAATTATTCAAGCGTATCGATTAATATTTTTATGTTGCTATATTTATTTATTACATCACTGTCATGCTTTCAGCTTAAATATATACGTATATAGCGCAAAGACGATCGTTTATTCGTATTATAGAAGAAAACTAATGACAGAAAAAAAACTTATACGACGTTCAAGGAATTCCATTCGAAGAGATATTTCAACATATAATGACATACATCAAAATATCGATACAAGAAAAGATCAATATTCGACATTAGTAACGAATTATTATAGTTTAACAACGGATATTTATGAATTAGCTTGGGGTAATAGTTTTCATTGTGCTAATCGATTTCATGGTGAAACATTTGCAGAATCAATTCAACGACATGAATCTTATTTAGCATTACGAATGCAACTTAAACCAGAAGATAAAGTGCTTGACATTGGTTGTGGAGTTGGAGGGCCTTTAAGACGTATTGCCCACTTAAGTGGAGCACATATCACCGGTATAACAATTAGTCCATATCAAGTTCAACGAGCTAGAACAATTGGTAAGAATTGATTATATTTAATTTTTGAAACAAATCTTGAATATAAAATGAAACTTTATTTCAGGTGTACCGGCCAATTGTGAATTTATTCAGGGTGATTTCATGAACTTACCATTTGAAGATAATAGTTTTGATCATGTTTATGCTATAGAATCTATATGCCATGCACCAGAAAAAGTATATTATTATTATTTTTTCTTTAAAAAAACTGCTTTTTTTTTCTACAATGATTTAGTCTAAATGTTTTTCTGAAGTCTTTCGTGTACTCAAACCAGGTGGTTCATTTGTTGGTTATGATGCTTGTTTAACGGATAAATATGATAATCAAAATCCTGAACATGTGGAAACAATACGTACAATGGAGGAAAATTTTGCTTTACCTGAACTAAAATTAACCAGTGATTTTGTTTCGAATCTTGAATCAGTTGGTTTTATTGTTGAAGAAAATCGAATAATACCCTACGGTGATATACCTGATTATAAGCCATTAGATGGTGGCGATTCATTTTTCTCATTCAATCTTCATCGTACAGGTCCTCTTGCTCGACGATTAGGACATTGTATGATTTGGCTTGCAGAAACAATTCGAATAGCTCCTAAAGGCAGTAAAGCAATGAGCAATATGTGGCAAAAATCAGTTAAAAGTTTCTTACATGCTCGTAAACTTGATATATTTACATCTCTATTCTTTTTTCATGCTCGAAAACCTCAATTATAAAAAAAGAGCTTATCAACGTGATCCTTTTTAATCTAAAAATTTTAACTCACATTTCTTCTTCAACTTAAATATACTAACACAAGATATGCACAGTGCGAAATCTTTCAGAGATGAAACTTACTTTCTCAAGATGATCGGACGCAGAGAAGGGTGGGTGTGGGTGTGG